CTATAGTATGCCTTAAGTCTATTGCACCTCAATTATACTCAGCACCCTGGGAAAACTTTCAACGTTGAACAAAGAAAATACAATCAATATGTTAGTAAGTCTTCCCTCCAAAAAAGGAGGAAATGGTACTCCCAAAAGCTTTTTTGTTTTTTTTTTTTTTTTTTTTTTTTGTTTTTTTTTGGTCTGGTTATAACCTTCTGATGCTAGAAATTGTTCTCTGGAAGATAGAATCTTTTCATGGAAAGAACACAGGATTCTGAATCAGGCAATCCTGAACATGACTCTTGGCTCTGCCATTTACGAAAAAATATGACCCTGGGAAAATTGCTTAACTACACTGAGCCTTAGTGTCACCATCTGCAAGAATGGGATCAAGCCCTCCATCAGCGGTATAGTGTTTTGGGAGTTCGGTGATGTTAACCTTCCTCCTGCCATAGCTTTAAAAAAAATTAAACTAGTAGAAGTCAATCCATAGTTAAGGCCCTAATACATCACTTAGGGTTTTCACACAGGATTCCTACAGCAAGATGGAAGAGAGAATTCCTGCCTTGGTGAAGTGTGTTGTTGCTGTGGTTTTAAACAGTGCTATTGGAAAATGTAACATGGTTCTGGCAAAATCATCCCTTGTCTGTCAAACAGTAACAGAAAAAATTACTTTATTAAAATTTTAATGCAAAAACGAAGGTACCACAGCATTTTATCAATAATGCTGGTATGCCCTCTTTCTCTCATTGAGTAGCCAGGGCTGCACCAAAGAATCTAAAGGGCATATGGTCAGGAGTTTAACTCTTAGATGCCTAGAGAAAAAATTGGACATGAAGCCATTAGGAGACAAATGCCAACATGTGAGTGACTTTCTGTTTGCAAGGTCCATCAGAAATTACATGAAAGTGTGGTCTTTTCCCAACTCTGGAAGCAGGAGCCACCCCTCTCTGAGCCATCAGGTAAGCCTTCAGGATACCTTCCGAAACACCTTTGTCTTGTGAACATTGACCTATGAGGAACCATAAAATGGGTTCTCACATCATAACTACCCATCACACAGCTACCCTGGTGGCTCAAGCCAGGGAACTCGTGTGCTTAATTAAGTTTTCAGGTTACATTTCGACTCAATCTATCACAAGACACACTTCCTGTCTTCAATCTTAGTGGAAGATATGTCTAAAATGTTTAAATCCTTAGGAAGGAAGGAGACTTAGGACTTAGGAAGAAGAGTCAGTCGGATGAAATGGAATCTTTTTGTGATAGACTGTAGTAGCCATATGTCCGGGCATGGATTTTCATTGTTCAGGCTATAGATGGGCCAGTGTAGAGGTCTGGCTGACTGCAGGTTCTTAGGACAGCTCAGAAAAGTCATTTGCTCTTTATTTCCTTGCTTGTTTGTTTTATCAGATCCTCAGTGTGAGTTAGCTTCCTTGTATGTCTTTCCCATCAAACTGGCATTAAACCCTTCCTCCCTCAAAATGACAGCTGAGCAATTGCATGCTAACCAAGGTACCAGTCTACGTTGGAGATTCAAGGGAAAATATGCCCGACAAATAACTCTGGTCTGGAGACTTTATTATGTGGCAGTATTTCCTGAGGGTTGACTGTGTGTCAGGCTAAGCACATTCTGTGCACTATATCATTCAATATTCCCAACAAACCATTAGCTGTGTATTTTTATTATCTAGGATGTTACTTGCTAAAGTCTGAATGAGGTCTTAAACTCGGAAGCCATGCTATGTTCCACCATCTTGCTGGTCATTTCTCCCAGCTCCCGTCTTGATGTGGTGCCCATCACACTCTATTATTCTCTGATTTTATAAACATATGTTGGGAGCACTCATTAAGTCCCCCCACATGGTACTAGGTTCTGGGGATGCACTGATGAATGGGACAGACTTGGTTCATGACTCAATGGGACATATAATCAAGGGACATCAGATTAAATGTCTAAAGAATGAATGATAAATGAATGAATGAATGAATTGAACAAATGATAATTCAACCTCATCTCACCTCCTTGTATGGAGTCTGATGAGATTTAGCTTCTGGCATTTCCCTAGTGTGTGCTAATCTTTTACTGATAACTGGGCAGTGAACCCCTTAGGAACAGAAACCATCTGCAATCACATGCTGTATTCCTGAACTGTAGAGAGAAAAGAGCTCTCTTTAAACATGAATGAGTGTGATTTCAATAAGCAACTAAAATATATAAAACAAAACGAAACAAAACGAACCAAGTCACCATCTTTTTCTTCCCGGGTTGGCAGTGAATGGACAGGACATATTTAATGGTCCACAGGTATTCTAATAACTAGAATGAGTGGAATTGTTTCATTTTCTATTTTAAAATTTCCTCACTTTTCATTCCTCATTTTTCACTTGAAGAGGTTGAGGTCAGAGAGTTTCAGTGACTGGCTCAAACTACCCAATGTTCTGGATATTAAAGCCGCCAAGAGAAATTTATTTTCCAGGGATATTTTTGAACCTGGCAGTTAACCCTAAAGGCCGTCCAAGGCTCTCCTTATTTACTAGAAATTTTTGGAAAGCGAGTCTGGTTATCAGAGGCTGCAGAGCTTTCAAGAGCAAACAATTTTTTAAACAACTTCTCTCCTGGATGGTAATGATTTCATTAATGAAATGCATTTCATCATCCACATACACATCATGGTGTGAATTCTGCCTTAATAAAGAACCTTTCAAAGAACATTTATTATGGGATTTGCCTTTCATTTGTGCAGGCAGATGCTGGACACCTGGATAAGCCATTGGGTCAGCCAGTCCCTAGTAGGTTCCTCACTGGGCCTCCATTCACTAGAGAGTCACAGGACCATCAGTGACTCATATAAGGTCTGAACTCCCACAACAGTCCTAGAAGAAGGACAGAGAAAAAAGAGGGGCACATCAACCATATCCAGGATTGAGGAGGGTACTCTAAATAAAACTCTTCATAGTTTTCTAGAAGATTAGGGGTGCTTCCTTATGACTAAGCTGTTCTTTGATTCATGCCAAAGACAAGCTCATTCATTCATTCATTCAGCAAACATTTCAGAAGTTCTCCCTTTGTGGAAGAAAGTGTTACTGAAGGAGGGTAAGATACATTTTCATACCGCAAATTTAATTCTCAATGCCCTGCAGACATTTGCTATGCACAGGATCCCTGTATAAATCCTGGAAAAAATCAAGGAGCATTGTGGGAATATCCACCCATTATTTACTCAAATAGCTACTGGGTTTTGAGGGAGGACAAGACACTGCACCTAAGCTGAAGAAATGAGTTGTTTAAGGTAATGTAACGAGTTCAAAAGGAAAAAGGTGTCTGGGCTGATTTTTTTTAATGCCAAAAGAAGAATCAAATAGAACCAGCAGATGCCATTTATCACCCAAATGCAAGGCTCGGAAAGGGGAGGGGGGTGGTGGGCCACCAAATAGTGTATGAAGGCTTTGCAGCTACATCAGCGCAGATGCCCCAACTTTTTCTCTCCTAGGCAACAGCTCTCAGCTCTTCCTACTAATATTTGAGTCTGTTTGAACACGCTTAGGATGCATATGCTGTGCAAACACGCAATATGGAATAGAGGGAATCTGTGTCATGGGGTGTATATGAGGGCTGAGTTGGGTGTAGAATTTCAACATGAAACGTGGGAACTGGTATATAAGTCCTGCAGGCCTTGGGATTTAGAAAAGCCTGTGTCAGTCTGCACAGCCTGTGCCCTTGGTATTAGAAATTTGGTTTGCCTGTCTTTGAGTGACTCCATCTAGAAGTCCTAGGAGAGGGGGAAAATGAGTTCCCAAAGATACTTGTGGTCCAAACACTTATTGAGTTCCTAGTATGCACCTGGCCCTCTGCCGAGCACCAAGGTACTTGTTGTGTGCCTTTGCTATTGGGAGACCAGGGTCACCACAGGCATCACAGACACATGATAGTGTCTGGGCTTTGGTTTCTGGTGTCAATTTTTAATGGCATTAGGATATTTAACACTGGAATCCATCACTAAGTGTCCTCCATCTCATCTCTGATGAGGGAAGAAACGAAGACAAGCATATGATAATACAAGCAAGCATGTGGCCTGTGAGTCTTCCATCTGCCTGAAGTTTGACTTTGCTGCTTCCACCCTATAGAACTCTTGCATGAACTATTTGTTCAGGAGCCTGGGTCATTATCAGGGTTGTTGTCACACTCCCTTATGTGTGAGCTGGGGAAAGGGACTGACACAGGAGCAGGACTGAGGGAGGCTAGTGGCAAGAGGATAGGCTCTGGAGTGATAAAGACCCACAGATTCCTCAAGTCTCAATCTCCTAATCTGAAAACCAGGATAATATTTGGGCCTTCTGCTTTGGATCACTGTGAGAAAATGAGGCGGGATGTATAAAAGGTCTGATGCAATATCTGGCACTTTGATTAGAACTTAGCACCAGCTCCAGGATGCATGTCCCATCTTGAAGAGCAGAAGCTGCCTGAAATAGGAGCATTCACTTACCGACTTCTCAGAGATGGGGTGACTTATGGGGGTGATGGGTGTTACCCATTACCGGGCAAGGCATTCGGAGACCAGGTGTCCTGAATTCTGTGTCCAGATTCCCTGAGGATTCATGAGGGTAGATGGTGGACAATGAAGGGGCTGGGCTGTCAATGGGACCAAATGAGTCTCCAGGCCCTCCTCCCTGGGAAACGGCCCCCACATGTGTCCCTCGCCCACCCTCCCAGCCCCACATGACAAGGTAGGACTTGATCCAGGCAGAGAGGAAGCAGCTGAGTGGCTCTGCTTCACAGTAACCTGGGCCCCAGGTAGAGAGACCAAAAATATGTGTGAGAGAGACAGAGACAGAGGGATATAGAGAGATAGAGAAAGAGAGAGAAGAGAGACAAATGGAGAAAGAGACAGACACAGATTTTATGAAAGAAGAAGAAAAAGAGAAGTAGGAAGAAAAAAAGAGAGGACTAGAAGAAACAGAGGGAATGAGAAAAAAAAGTACAGAAAAGTAGAAGAGAAAAGAAACAGAAGAGTACTCACCGACTGCCTTCAAGGAGGCATACTTGTTGAGCTCTTTGCCCGGTGGCTGCTGCTCATAGGGGTTGGAGATCTGGCCCAGGCTGGGGTACGAATGTGGATGGCCCATCTGCTGGAGCAAGGGGGAGGTGGGCACCGCGTTGTTCATCTGGGTCGTGTCTGCACGTGAGGAGACAGAGGGACATGATCACAGATGGAGCAGGACCTTCTACCCACACCCACCACTGCCTGGTCCCAAACTCATGTCAGAACAACCAACTCCATGACCCTCACTGGAAAGCAGCTGAGGACAGATGGGTAAACAGCAAATTTATAAATAAAGATGATTAACTTCAGTAATAGTCAAGGAAATGCAAGTCAGAGCAACAGTGAGAAGCCAGTGCTTTGCCAGGAGACCAACAAACAGTACAAGCATGGAAGGACCCCCACACTAGCAAAGATGTGGAAACTGGCCAGTCTCATAAACTCACCTGGGGGCACAATCTGCCATGGTTGCAGAAACAAATATAATTTGTTTGTCTTGAAATGTAATGTGAATGTATACCTTGACCAAATAATACAACTTCTAGGGATGAAGCCTACAGAAACAGCATCAGAATATATGGAGAATATATGGATAGGGGCGCCTAGGTGTCTCAGTCAGTTGAGCATCTGCCCTCGGCTCAGGTCATGATCTGGAGGTCCTGGGATCAAGCTCCACATTGGGCTTCCGGCTCAGTGGGGAGCCTGCTTCTCCCTCTCCCTCTGCTACTCCCCCTGCTTTGCTTGCTCTCTTGCTCTCTGTCAAATAAATAAATAAAGCTTTTTTTTTAGATACAGAACATATGAATATTTGTTCAGAGATGTTCTTTGCACCGTTGTCTATAAAGTGGCTAAAGGGCACAGGCACAGAAACAACCTGAACTTCTATAAATACAGAATTCGTAAATAAATTACTGTGCATCTACATTAAATACACAATATGTACATGCATATGCTGGGATATCATGCGGCTGTTAGAAAAAAATGTGTTTAAAAAAAAAAAGAAAAAAATGTGTTTAAAAGTGACTTAACTCTATACATGTCAACCTGGATAGTTTCTTTTGGTTTATACTGTTAAGGGTTTCCCCAACACCTTGAGAGCAGTGGGATGGATGGAGTGAGGGGAAGAAAGAGAGGAGAAGCAGAGCACAGATGGGGTGATTATGGCTCAGGTTCAGGCAGGAACTACAGGTTCTCCCCACTTCATGAGGCACATGTACAGATCCAGATAAACATGGTGGTGGGTGCTGGTGTTGCCTTGAAAGATCCCCTTCACTTGGCATGTGTGCCTATTTCCTGGCTGCTGTGTCAGCTGCACACAGCCCATGGCTGCCCCTAGCACCCAGGAAGTTATTCTCGGCAACTACCACCCTGGGTTTAGTGTGCTTCATGCACCTCACTCAACACCTGAGGTTGTAGGCAACCAGGGCCTGGCTGACTTGAAGGCATGCAGACCAGCCCCATGCCTCAAGGTGGGGATAGCTTTGGAGCAGTGGATGCTCCAGAACTCCCAGGGATTGGAACAAGCCACCTTCTCTAGTAAAGGGCCAGACGGCAAATTGTTCAGTCTTTATGGGCCACATTGTCTTGTTACAAATGCTCAACTCCGCCCTTGTAGCAAGAAGGCACAGACATGAGGTCAATGAAGGGGTGTGGCTGTGTACCAATAAAACTTTATTTATAAAAACAGGTGGTTGCTAGATTTGGTCCAAGGGCCATAATTTGACTACCCCTGGTCCAGACTTTATCTGACACTGTGGCTCCTTTATCTTTCCTATTTTGTTTCCCTCACAACCCAAGAGGGGTGTGTGCATGTGTCTGTGCATGCGTCTGTGTCTGTGCGTCTCTGTGTGTGTCTGTATTGTGTGAGTGCTGGAGAGCATTCCCTCGGAGTCTCATACACCTGAATCCCTCTCTCAAGTGCTGCTTCTAGACAATTCAAACCATGATAGATATGGACTATGTTTGGCTTTAGAAACCAAATGAACCCAAATGGAAAGAGACAGGGACACTACAGCTGAGAGATGAGCAGAGCATGTTTATCACTGCACAGGCAACTGCATCATGGGAATGTCACCAAACATAGGCTACATAACCCAGCCTCTGGCCTGCACGTGAGGAAGTGGGTGTATCCTTCTGCCGTGATAGCTTTTTTGGCTGAGATTCAGCAGGGCTGGGAAGGCCCAAGATTAAGGAAATCATGGATGAGGTACTGCATAAGGTACAGCTTTTGCTGAAGCGTGGACCTCAAGATCCTCTGATATTTTCTCTCCAGAGCAACCTGCTGAAGTTTGTCTCCTCCAGGGCATGTCAGGCTAGACATGTTTTGTGCCCAAATGCTGGTCCAGGGGGAGCACTTACTACAAGTCCTCATTGTGTCCTGGTTTTGTGAAGTTTTTTTTTTTTCTCACAAAGTCTTTTTCTTTTTACTGGACAGGTTCTGCTAGTTGTGTGTACTCAGAGCTACCCTGCACAGAATACACTGTGCCCTGAGCATCTGAGTCATGTGATGAACCACCCATCATGGTGACTGTCTCGGTCTGGGTTTTCCCAGAAGTCACTGAGGTAAGGACTCAAGGAGGAGCAAATCTGGGAGGCAGGCTCAGGGAATACTATAGAAAAGGAGTAGTGGAGTGAGATAGGGAAGAGAAAGCAGACATAACTGTAGTGAACTGGAGTCTTATCCCATTTTGGAATTCTGGTAAATGGTGTTGAATGCCTGTCTCAGAATTTTATCTTCCATGGGCAAGTGAGCCCCTTACTATTCCTACACCAATTCCCAACAGTCATTGGGTGAGGGCTGCTTCTGGAAGATAGCAATGCCTTAGCACTCGCAACCCACCATGTTCAGGGGCAGAATATGCTCTGGCAGCCACAAAAATTCTTATTCAGATATGTAAGAGCCGGCAGTTGGAAATCAGGCCAGGAAACCACACCTCTGGCCACAGAAGTGCGTATGTGATCCAAATTGGACAAATCATGATGCCTCCTTCTTCTCGTAGTGACTGGGCTGGAGGCAGGCATGGGACCTACGCTGGACCAATTAGAATTCTTCCCTGAGTTTTTCTACTGGGAATCTTTGGACTCAAGGAGCCAGGTCATGGATTCAAGTGAGTTTGAACCTGCCATGTGGAGAATATTGTGAAGGAGTAAGGACAATAGGAGGAAAGCAGAGAAGATAGATAGGGAAATCCCTTTCTAATAAGCTAGTATGCTTTGGGGTTACTATCTTCGGCAATGTAGAGTTTGGACTAGTGTAGTTTGTGGATTCCCTCTGGGAAGTGAGACTTCCAGATCGAGGGGAGGCTGCCCATATGGCTATAATGAAGGGCCTGGGGATTGTGTCAAGATGGAAAAGGAATCACACCTGGGTGTTCTACAGAGATTTGATAGAAATTTCAAACAGCAAACGGCCTCAGTAGTACACAGGGAATGCCCAAAGACATTCATAAATTAATTTACTAATATCTTCATGGTAGGTCATGTTTTCTCACCCCTGGAAGTAGATCCCAAACATCAGCTCAAATTTTGTTCCCAGGCCTGCCAGGGGAAATGCTAAACTCTGTAGAGATAGAAATAAAACTGAAGGAAATAAAACTCTGTAGAGATGTTCCTCATCACTTGGGACAGGCTTTTATATTATTCAACAGAATAGTTAATGTGCTATCATAAAGTATTTGCTTCTGGATGATTTCTTCCAAGTCCTGAGCTTCTTCAAGGGCAGTGAGTGGTTAACTTAATGTAAGTGGGCATGACCAAGATGTCCCACCAAAGGAGTCCCTCACAAAAGAAGAGATGGGGCTGCCCCAGAGCCATATTCCTGCTATCACATGCAGAGCCACAGGAAGCAAATTCCGGCCATTTCAGACAGACATTTGGTGCTTGCTTCCAGACACTGAATATTCACAAATATTGAAATCCAGTCTCAGGGCAGCAATCAAGAATTATTAAACAGACATTTGTGACTGGGTTTTTTAAATGTTATTTTCATTTTACTGAACAAGAAGATGGAGCAAACCTGGCAACCCAGAGTTTCTGTGAGTTTTGTACAAATATATCCAGCTAAGGAGGAGAAACCAAAGTGTAGATGGGAAGTCAGCCCAGCTTGGAATCCAAGCAAAATAGAACAATTGGGTGAGGGAAGAGCAAAGACTGGATCAGATTCATCCTTGCCAGTAAAGGTGAGAAGAAAAGTAAAAGAGGTAGAGCGTATGTAGGTATATATGTATATGCATATGTATTTTTATGTATATATGTACACATATGTATATATTATCTATTTATCTATCTCTATCATTTAATTTATATAGTCATGGCCATAGAAGGAATCCAGTCAGACCAATGATGACTTGCTCTCAGCAGGGTAGTTTCTTTTGTAGACACACTTCGGGCCCAGAGATATTTTACTTACCTCACCTCTGTAGAAAGATACTTCCTACCCAATGCCACAAGAAAAACCTTCCCTGCCTCATTAAAATTTCGCAACTCATTCTGACTCTTAGAAATAATAAACAAGGACTTGCTGTTCTGGGATGCTGTTTTCCATCAAGAACCTCAGTCAACAAACAAAAAGTTGATGATGTCCCTGTGCTCTCCTTCCTAAGACGGAAGAGGGGTCTTAAGTATTTAACAGTCATTTTCAAAGAAGGGTAAGACATAGCTACTCTAATTGGAAGCATCTGGCTGACCTACCCCCAGGTAACCGCTGCATAAGTATCATTATATGTGGTATATCTTAGTCACTAAACAGAAATAAAATAAATGCATTTCAGATAGGGTCAGCTAAGGTAAAAATGCTCAGTTGCAAACACTGGGAGGATGCTGTGGGCTTCTCAGTGTAGAAGAGACAAATAACTATCAGAAACTGGACTAATTTGGCTCATCTTGGGAGAAAAGTAACAATAGCCAGTCTTTCAAGGCACATAACAGGAAGAACAGCTCAGAAAGGCACAAGATGGTCAAAGGTGTTGTTTCGTGGAGCGTACATTATGTGCCAGGCACTTGGCGAGGAATTTCTCATGTAATATATCTCCTTTAATTCCTATATCAACCCTATAATGTAGAGATCTACAGACAATACATCTTTTAAAATAAGGTGTTCATTGTAGAACAACTTTAGATTTATAAAAATACTGCAA